TGCTGCACGGCAATGGAGCTGGCCTCCTTCCTCTTCACGCAGCCCATGATGTTTTGAATGACAAACAGGGCCTTCATCTTGATGTCTGCGCTGGCATCCTGCAGGGTGGCCATGATCTCTGGCAGCACCACCCGCATTTTTCTTGCCTGTAGGAAACGCAAGTTCCTTTGTCTGATGTGGGGAACGACCGCCTGGGCAAAAGGCTCCCGTCTCTGAGCTCCAGTCTCCTGCTTCACTTGCTGGCAGCGGGCACGGCAGTCGCAAGGCCAATGGGGAAATCCTTTTCTCAGAGGGCGGTGAGGCTGCCCAGAGAAGTAGCTACCCCATCCCTGGAGGTACCCAAGGCCAGGACGGATGGGGCCAGGGGCAACCTGCTCTGGTAGGTGACAACTAGCCCACGGTAAAAGCTGACTTTACTGGGCTTTGACGTCCCATCCTCAAAGCTCCTCAAAGCCAGCAGGCCCCACCATGCCCGTCACCCTTCTCCCGTCGCTGCCCCAGAAGCTCAGTGCCGCTTTGGTTGACAACGCCCCACTCACCTTCTCCCGTGTCTCGGAGAGTACGACAAGCCCTCTGAGCACCACGCTGTGCATCTCCACGCTTGGATGCTTCAGAAAAGTCTTGAGGTGGCGTAGGTCACCAAAAAAGTCCTCGTTATCTTCACTCTTTGCCATTAGCTGAAACATAGACATAGCCAGGTGAGAGCCTGCAGGGGCACACGCAGCCCCGAAGGGCAGCAAAGTGTTCTCCATTAACTCACAGCCAAGAAGAGGATACAGGTGTCTTCTGTGACTCCTTCTACCAGCCTGCTCAGCTGTGAGCCCTTGGTCACCTCCTTCAAGACCTTCTCCAAGGTCTGCGGCATGCAGAGCATCACCTCCCACGGGTCCAGGGCGTTGCTGCAAGCCCAAATACATTGTAGGCAGAGCTACCTTAGCACAGCTAAAACCCTGCAGGCCCACGTTGCTTGGAGAGCCCTGGGCGAGCAGGAGGGCACCTGGAAGAAGCCCTCCAGGCTGCTGAGGACAGTACCTGTCGCTTGGTGGAGAGGACTTCAGCAGGCTCCTGACTTCTTCCGCCGGCATCTGGCTGGTCAGAAGGAGGAGCAGGGAGTCCAGGCAGCGCCGCGCTGCCTTTGTGGTGATGCTCCTCAAGTTCTTGCGGATGAAGGTCATGAACTGGGCTTTCTGAAGGGGACACACGCGAGAACAGACCACAACCATTAGCACAGGTGCCGCTGAAACCACTGCACTTCCCATCGCTGAGAACGGCTTCAGGAGCCGCAGAGGCCTCGGCTGGGGAGGGAAGAACAGCGCCTGAAAGGGCTCAAGGATGGGGCAGTGGCCAAAAGGGGCTTACATCTGGCATCCAGAAGGCGTGGTCTTCCATGGCCACGGCCATCACACTGCAGGCTGCCTCCTTGTCATAGATGCTGGAGTCAACCAGCGCTTGAAGGGCTGTGAGGACGACGTCCATCCTCTCAGCAGGCCTGAGGTATCCTCCAAACAACTGTGGGTGGAAGCAGGGGAGGGAAGAGATGCCACACTGAGCACTCCAGTGCAGGGAGAGCAGCCCTGCAGAGATGCTGGGCAGCAGAGCCTGTAGGAAAGCTGGCAGCATCAGCTTCCGTCACTGCGTGGTGCAGGATGGCAAGAGAGGGTTCTGGGAGATGGACTGCAGGTGGGGGCATGGGCATTTGGTAAGAAGGCCTTGCGGTCCTCCAGCCAGGAGGGCTGGATCTGCTGCCCTCGCACTCCCCTTGCTCACAGACATTTCCTGCTGATGCCATGGACAAGATCCTCAGCATGGCAGGACGTTACCTCAGCGCAATCTTTGGGAGTGGGAAAGTCATTATCTCCGAACTTTCTATCCTCCGGCTTCTCATGGAGATGCACGTAGTTTTCCATCTCCTCTGACAGGCTTGTTCCTAAAAGGGAGGGAACACAGAAGAGTCAGAAGGAAACAATGTCTTTGCCATCAAACTCAGCAATTGGTGAACGGTGCTTTAAGCTGAAAACGGAGTTCTGAGGAGACCCACGGTAGAGGGGACCCGTGGTGTAGGAGAACTGAGCATGGAGACCAATGGTGAGCAGACATGGGTTGATGGGACCCATGCTGAGGAGAGTGAAGGAAAGGGATTACACAGCTAAAGGTGATGGGTGCTGGGAGCAAGAGGCAGCTTAGGAATGGTGAAGCTGCTCGTAAGAGTAAAGGAGCTCAGAGAGCTTGCGGACTCCACAGTCAGGCTTCACAAAGCATAAGAGTAGGAGAAAGGAGCAGACATAGGAGCAGAGATGCTGCCCAACCCATCTTCTCTTACTTCTTTGTCGTTTGACAAACATGTGGAGGCGATGAAGCGCTTGTAAAGCTGGAGCTCTGGTGCTTTCGTAGCCACAGTTGAAAAGGCTGAGGTGACCCAGCAGCTCTCCCAGGATTGGGAAGTAGTCGTCAATGAGTGGCTTGTAAGCTTCGGGGCCCTCCCAGTCCTGGGTGAGAGAAGGAGAAGAGAGGAAGGGCTGAGTGGAGGCAGAGCAGGGCCTGGAGAGGGAAGAGTGGGGGCAAAGACGGGGCAAGGACCCCTGTTTGGGGCAGAGCCCCGCTGAGAGCTCCCAGCCGCAGCCCGGCTGCAGGCACCCCTGAGCTGCTCTGGGATATGGAGAATGGGAGACAGCCTGCTGGAGATTGCCTGGCTCCTTACTTTTTCCATAAAATTACGGATCATCTGTAAAACCCCACGCACGGCTCTCGTACGGACATGCACATCCTGGGAGCTGAGGAAGTGGAGCAGAGCCTGCAAAGAGAGAATCTGCTGGTACTTGCCCTGGGAGCTTCTGCCGCTCCAGCAGGAGCTCTGGGATCTTGCCCACGGGGGAAGAAGAACAGAGCAGCAGGGGCAGGATCCTTTGCAGGACCTTCACGTGCAAGGAGGGTCTGTGTCACTGCAGTAGGGACATTCGCATCCCTCCCACTGACCCCGCTCTTTGCAACTGCCTGCCAGACCTGAAACATGCTGCGCAGCTCCTCGCTCATTCTCCTGTTGGGGCAGTTCTGCACCAAGGCTTCTAGCATGATGTCCATGGCACACATGGTCTGCAAGAGGACAGAGAGTTGCAGAAGGGCGCCTGCGGCACCTCACGGGGCGCCTCATGCTAACCCTATCCCCAGAGAAGAGACGAGACGAGGGTGGAAAAGCAAAGCTGGCTTCCTGCCCTGCCTGGCTCTCCTGCGGTCTCAGCACAAGGAGCCAGGGAGCAGCCCAAAGGGACCTGGCGCTCCGGTGGCTCACCCAGCACACACCTCATTGTAGAGTTCTTTCTCCTCTTCTGGTATGCTCACTTCCGGAGGCAAAAAGAAGACGCTGTTGAAGCAGGAATTCAGAATGCTCTCCGTTTTGCCTTCCAGCGCTGTCTCCACAGTGCTGCAAGGGGAGAGAGAAGCCCGTTGGACACCGTGCCTCGAGGCCACGGGAAGGAGGACGTGGACCTCCATGGGCAGGAGGAAGCCTCCCTGCCGGCTTCAGGGCCGCCAGCAGCCTGCCCTGGGGCCGTGCTAGCCAAATGTGGGCCTGGGCAGCTACCTCATGTTGGCAAAGCTCATCATGGCTTCCTGCTTTATCTCCGAGGACAAAGTGTGCTTGGGCTCCTCATCGATCAGCGCCTGCAGAACACAGGAGGGATGGGATGGATGGGACGTGGCAGCCACCAGAGGACACTTGCGTGTCCGTGCTCAATTCTCCCCGTGCCAGCCTTGTCCACAAAAGGGTGCAGGGGGTCCATGCCCCCTTTTCCAGCCCACTGCCTTTCTCCCCACCTGGACATTCTCTGCCAGCTGCTTTTCTTGGCAGAAAGCATCCAAGTTGAGCGACGTGTCCCTGCATTTGCACAGCGTGCAGATGCCTCTCAGGAATTTGATTTTCTCTTGCACATCCTGGTAGTCACAGAGGGAACAAGAGGGGGCATGAAGGTGAGATCCACGGCCAGCAGGACCCCGAGCATCGTGGGGCGCGGTGAAATGCCTGCGGGGTAGCGGCCTGGAGAAGAACCGGGGCTGTTTCCACAGTGAATGCAAACAGCTGCTCTTACCTTGTCCTTTCTCTGCAGAAACTCACAGATGCATGCGATGGCTGTTTGTTTCCACAGCTCCAAGATGCGAATACCTAAGCAAGAGGAGAAGAATGAGCACCGTAGAGAGGGGCCAAAGGCAAGGAGTGAGCGAAAGAACGGCCCCAGCGCATGGCATGGAGCCATCCTGCCTGCCTGCTTCCCTGACATCCTGCCAGCCCAGCAGCCTCTCAGCACCCATCCCAACAGTCTGGGAGAGGTTGGCACTGGCGCAGGCTGCCTAGAGAAGCTGTGGCTGCCCCATCCTTGGAGATGCTCGAGGCCAGGCAGGATGGGGCTGCGGGCAGCCTGATCCAGTGGGTGGCAACCAGCCCACAACAGGGGCTGGGCCTGTGAGGGCTTTGAGGTCCCTCCACACCCAACCATTCCTGGATCCCGTGTTTCCATGCTCCCTTTAGCTGGAGCTGGACTCCATGCTGGGAAAGGGAGTTTCAGGAAAGGAGGTGCCGGAAGAAGTGGGTGCCAGCTTTGAATCAAGCATGACCGCTGTGCCCAGTGCTTCCCACCCGTTACTCACGTGGATTTGTGATCTTCCTTTTCTTCTCCTTCTCCTCCTTCTCCTCCTTTTCAGGAGGCCACTCCTGCCAAGCCAACCTTGGCCAGCAGGGGGGTCTCACCTCCATCTCACCAGACTGAGAACCAGAGCTGGCATAGGGAGGGAAGAGGGAAAGGTAGATTCGCCGGCTCTTACGGGCAGGCGGAAGTGGCATGGCGAGAAGTGGACTGTGCTCAAGAAGCCTCGAAGGTCCCTGTGCTCAAGAAGCCTTGAAGGTCCTTGTGCTCAAGAAGCCTTGAAGGTCCCTGTGCTCCTGTCGCTGTCGCTCCTGCGACTGTTCTGGCTTTCCCTTGGCTATTACCTAGGCTGCCCTCACCCTTTGTGATGTCGCTGATGACACACAATGGGCGGCCTTTAGAACTGTGCCTGTACCCTCAGCAGCTTGTAGGGGCTGGATGAGAATGGATCACATCAAATACTGCATCCATTAGCTGGAAATATCCAAGTCACGTTTGTCAGGACGGTATCTCTGGTAACAGCAGAATTTATTCGCGGTTGCAATGGCGGCGTCCCGCAAGCAGGAGCGCCTATGGACACAACATGGCAGCCTTTAGACCCTGTTTGCTCCCCCTTGCCTCCCCCCTCCCCCGTTTCCCCACTGGCTGCGTACTCCAGGTTCACAATCTTACAGAAGGTTGACATTTGCTATTTACTTAATTTGTTAATTTATTTGTTACCTGCTGTCAGTCAGCAGCCGTGCTGTTGTTTCCAAGCTGTCTCGGTGCTCTCCTTGCCGTATTGAAACGGTGATTTTCTTTCAAGTCTGCGTTAAACAAAGAGCACTGGGGATGATGCCAGGCCTGCCGATGTCTCTTCAGGCGCTTCCTGGGGCAGGCCATGGCTGTTCTCTGGTTTGCTCTCGTGCAGGATATTCCTGCAGCGTGTGACCAAATATACAGATATACACCTCTATACAGAGTGTGCGTGCCTGGGAAGGTTCGTCTAGAGGATCAGTGATGCAAACTATCAGAGATCTTCCCGAGGTGAAGTAGAAGGACTCCCAAAAAGAACTATGATAGCAGAGATCATGACATAAAAATAATATTATCCAATTGTAATGCAGAAACAACACTTGATTCCCGCACATTCATAGCCCAGGGCATAGAATCATAGAGTCACAGAATCTGTAGAGTTGGAAGGGACTCTGAAGGCCATCTCGTCCAAGTGCCCCACTATGAACACAGACACCACAGCTCCATCGGATGCCCTGCCCGCTCCAGCCTTGCCTTTGAAGTCTTCGGGGATGGGGCGCCAACACGTCTCTACGCAGCCTTCTTCCAGGCACACAGGTTTGCCAGGGCTGAGCTGGGGCAGGAGCGACACAGACAGACGCTCGGGTCCTGAGCGGAGCTGCTGCTGCCGCTGCCCGCCTGCTCCTCCGGGAAGCCGCCCCTCCCCCCTCAGCTGCTCCACCTGCCCGTAGAAGGCGGGAAGCGCAACCAGAAGATTCCCTCGTGAAGTCCCACTGCTCCGCACGGCGTTCTGGTGTGCGACAGTGACAACAAGAAGTCTCAAAACCACAACAGAGGCAGACTGTGTTTCTGCAGTAGAAGTCTCCAGGTTTTTTTTCTATGTGGTGTATTCCTGAAATTAGAACCTTCCTGTGAACCTGTTGTTTCCAGTTATTTATTTATTTTATTTTTTGTATGCCGCAGGGGCCCTTGCTGAACTTACAGAAGAGTCCTAAATGTTATTGATTCGTAAAGAAAGCTGATGGAGTGAAGTTGGAAATGGGCTGTAGTGACTCGGGTAGGACTGACGGCACAAGATAAGGAAAGTACGCAGGATGGGAGAGAACAGCATAGGACGGCATGGGGACAGTCAGGCAAAGGGTGGGGAGAGCCGAGCACAGGACAGGAGAGATGTGCTAACTTTGGAATATTGCTCTCCTGTCCAAACACAAAGCAGAACGGATGTGCTAACTTCGAAACGCTGCAGATATTGCAAAGTACAAAGCATTCCTAAAGACAAGAAGTTGGTAGCGGCCCGTAGGTGGAGATGTATCACAGCAACAGTGTTGGGAAGATTGTGAGCCTGAGACGCTCAAGCAGGGAGAGCCAGGGGAGGCATTACCTGCGTCGGGTTTAGGGCACGGAACAGAACGGATTTCACTGCCAGTGCTCA